GGGGTGTGTCTGTCTGTGTGGGGGTGTGTCTGTCTGTGTGTGTATGTCTGTGTCTGTGTGTCTGTCCCTGTCCCTGTCAGCCTCTACAAACAACCCCGGAGGAGGCAGCGTGGCCTTTTTCAGTGGCAGGGGGCGGGGGGGGGGGGGGGGGGGTTTATTTCTCTTATTCCAGCCTTCACGGGAGGCTCTGTCTGTCCCAGGGTACGTGACGACCATACTGGAAGACGCAAAGATTTACTCCAGCCACGCCAAGAAATCCAGCGTGGATGCAGACGACGTGAGGCTGGCGATCCAGTGTCGAACAGACCAGTCGTTTACCTCCCCGCCGCCCAGAGACGTAAGAATCTATGATTCTATGATTCTGTGATTCTAAGTGAAACCGTGTGGGCAAGAACAGAGCCCGGTAAGAGGCCTCGGGTGGGGACGTAACTGTCGTCTCTCCAGTTCCTGCTAGATATCGCCAGGCAGAAAAACCAGACGCCGTTGCCGTTGATAAAGCCGTATTCCGGACCCAGGCTTCCGCCTGACAGGTACTGCCTGACAGCTCCCAACTACAGGCTGAAGTCCTTGCAGAAGAAGGTAAGGGGCTTGGGTTGGGGCTCTCCCAACGCCCACGTTGTTGGTCAGGAATATTCTTGGCGTTTGGCTTCTCCGCACCGCTGAAAGACACGTGGGGGCGAATGCTGACCCGTGCATGTTGAAATAAGCATTTGGAGCTAGGTCAGTGGTCGTTACCTCTAGGAATTTCATAGGATTATAGAATGAATCGTAGAATGTTTGGGGTTGGAAGGGACCCCTAGAGGTCATCTCGTCCAACCAGGCGTTCTTACTGTTAGTTTAGTTTCAAATGCAAAGGGTGTTAAAAAAACGCATCTGCGAATCTTTTTAGCGTTAAAGCAAAATTGTTGAGTTGAGTATCGGGTTGTAACAGGCAAAAGTAAGGCTTTAGCATAGATATTAAGGGGTATTTTGTACTTATACCATGGCTGTTCCTGCTTTAGAGGGAAGAGAAAAGATTTCCTTTGCTTGCTGGGAAATGCTGGATGTCACAGTGTGTAGGATTTCATATTTATTTTCCCTGTTTTAAGGAAAGAATTTTAAAAGTTATGCTTAAGGTCAGATTCCGGGTATCGCCACGGAGCACGCCTTGATGCTTCTGATAAAAACGTTGCAGTTATCCTTGCCGGTAGGCACGAACCTGATTGACCCGAGCGCTGTTTGCCAGATCAGCTGCCTGATGATTTTCGGCGTTGGGTCACGCCCGGGAGCTCTCCAGCTCGCGCCGGTGACGTTGGCACCGTGAAGAGTTTGAGAGCTCCTGGGTCGGAGCACAGCTGGTGCTGCGAAACCGGCTCAGAAGCCGTTTCTCCTTCTCACGTTAAGAACTGTTTGTTTCTAATGGGATCCACACGTTCTCTCTCGACAGGTCTCTTCCTCTGCAGGAAGAATAACGGTCCCTCGCCTGAGCGTCGGTGCTGTGAGCAGCAGGCCCAGCACTCCTACTTTAGGTGGGAAGCAGCTCGGCTGGGGTTTTATGAAGGAAAAAAAATAACGAGGCATGCTGTAAGGCGTGCTTCAAGTGCTGAGGGCACGTTGGGTGCCACCCAAACTCGGGGTCATCTGACAGCATCAGGAAGTTAATTTTTAAAAGATTATTTTAATCTTTCATACATTTATACGTTACTGACGTCCTGGATGTTTATTCCTGCATTTGTGATGACTTCTGTGTGTGAAAAGACTGCTCAGGAAACTTAACGTCTGTTGGAGGGGTTTTCCCTCCGTGTAAGCACTGCGCTGACCTACAGATAGCGCAAAATAAAATCCATTTTCAAAAGGTTCACAACATTTGTGGCAGAGCACGTGCACTTACGTGTGTGCTCGTCGCCTAGAATTTTATCGGTCTCCAGGAAGCGCGCGGTTCTGCCTGCAGCTCTGGCTCCCGCAAATCCCCGATCAGTATGTTCCTGGGTGTCCCCACTGCTTGGACAGTAACGCTCGGAAAGCAGATTTACGAGTGCAAGTTTGTTTTGGTTTGTTTTGCTTTTTTAATTTACCTTTTGACGGAGTTGTTTGGAATTTCAGGGACCCCTTCAGCACAAACAGTATCCGTGTCAGCAAAAGTTGGCACGCCAGTGTCGCTGACCGGGCAGAGGTTCACCGTGCAGATCCCCTCCTCGCAGGCAGCCGTCAAGTCAGGTAAAACACGAGCTGCGAGGATCAGCAGCGTTTTGGGGGGGAAATTAATTTATAGTAATAACGTGGGGAAAATTAACTTACGTGAGACAGAATCCTCCCTCTGCTCAGGCCAGTAACTTCTAGGTTTAATTCCCGCTTCTGACACAGTGGGCAGGTTTCCCTTACGCCCGATGTTCCCTTGTTCTCTCGTGCTCACTGTGCTGGCATCGTCCTGTCTTCTCTACTTCGCTCCCAGGCTCATTCCAGGGTTTTCAGCCCGGAATGTTCTAGTAGCACGCTTCTTTACTGGGTCGGCAGTTCTGTTTCAGTGTGGGAAAATCAACTGTCGATTTTCTGTGCTTTCTCTTCGATGGCTTCTTCTTTCTTTTCACAGCCACACCGACTACTCCGACAGTTCAGAATGTTCTAATTAATCCTTCGTTAATCGGACCAAAGAACATTCTTATTACTACAAATATGGTGTCATCGCAGAACACATCGAGTGAATCAAATCCCTTGAAGAGGAAGCACGAAGACGATGACGACTACGATAACTTGTGAAGAGACTGCCCGGTCCCCTTCCGTTCTTCGGTGATTCATATTGAGTCTGACAAGGCTTTTGCCAGGAGTTCTTTGTAGACGGCGTGAGAGCGTGCAAATACTCTGCTACTGCGCGGCTGGGTGTGGAGCGAGAGAGGGGCCCCTCGCCTGTGGAAAGAGGAGGAAGCAGCTCATCTTCCTCTGCGTCTCTCGAGCCTCAGCAGCAGCGCTGAGCGCCGGTCGCTGTTAGGCAGAACGGGCTTCGCCTCGCTTCTGTCGCCTTCTTTCTGACAGACACGGCCGCGTCTCTGACGCCTGCTGAGCCAGGTGCCGAGTAAAAGTAATTTTTAGAAAACACTTGGTGGTGTGACGTAGATATTTCATTTCAAACAGCCTCAGAACCGGAGTCCTGGGTGAGGTAGGGCATAGCTGGGGAGTGTCAGCCTTTTTTTGTTTGGTTTTATTCCCCCCCCCCCAAAGCCATTTGGTGCTTCTGGGTTGTGTTTGCTGCGTACGCTGTTCTCCAGCTGCGGTTCCAGGGGGCGCGAAGACTTTCTCTCGGCAGCAGAAATGCAGAGAAGAGGTAGAGGAGGGGGTTTGGGGGGAAGGCTTCCTTAGGCTGCCCTCCCCACCCCCTTAACACGTCGTTCCTGTTGACCTATGCCAGTACCCACAACTCGGAGGTCAAACCCCGGCCAAGATTTGTTCGTTATTTATTTCCAAAGCGCTGCTGCACCTCTGTCAGTCGTCGCTTCGTTAAGCTTGTGCTTGTGTATCTGGGCTGTGGATAAAACGTCGCTGTCGGCGTGGCACAGGGCGGGATCCGGCGAAGGGCAAAGCGCCAGAGCGTGGCTGCGAGGGTCGGGTCCCTGCCGCTGCTTTTGGGCCCTATCAGGATCCCAAGTCGGCTCTGCTGGAAGACTGAATAAATTCCGTGGGTTTTTATGTGTTCAACAATAACCAGGGGCGAGTGGTTTTCATGATGTCTCTTGGTAAAGGCTTCAGCGCGCGCTGCCCGTCCTGGGAGAGCTCTCGCACGCAGCCGGGCTCTGCTGTTGCCCGTGGAGGCGGGGGGAGGTTCACAAGCCGGGGCACGGACCCACTTTTAAAATCACAGGGGA